TATGTACTTTTCCCTTACATTTTTTGTAAAAAAATAATCAATATATATAAATTGTAAGTATAATTGCAAGTGACCCTTGTCGCCTAACTTGCATCTCAAGTTTATGAGCATGGCGATCTTAAGACCGAGAGGAGCATTTGAAGTTGTTATTTATGGCATTTTTCCATATTATTATGCAATCATTATAAAAATTATTTTCTCTATCTGAAAATAATTATCATTTAAAAATTTTTTAATTAAGTGTTTAAGGGTAACAATTGTATTTACTTATAATATTTTTTAAAAAATATACCAACTTTTTTTATAACAATTAAGTTACCTTTAAATCACTTTTACACATATTTTAAAATTAATTTCCTTTTGATTCAGTTAAAAAAAAGTTATTTATGCTAAAAGTAACAATTAATAAGGCATTATTTATTCATTCGCCTCTCAAAAAATTAAATTTTAATTAAAAAAATATAAAAAAAAATTTACCAACTAAATCATAACTTCTTACACAGATACAAACTTTTCAAAGTTACTAGATCCAACATGCAAACTATGCAATTTTTTTGTAATTTAGGATTGCATAATGGTATGTAATTTTTTTTTATTCTTTAACTCATAATTTCATTTATACATTATTTAACTTAAATTTAAAACTTTTTATTGCTATAAAAAAATTTATTATTAAACTACTTAAATAGTTTATACAAATTATGTAATTTTAATAGAAAAAAATTAAGTGGATATCTATATTAAATGTACAAATAATCTTGGATTGTAACCTTTGAAAAGTTTGTACCTTTAGGTGGGAACTTTCAAAAATTTTGTAGCCCTACGAGCTTCGTATAGTAACAAACAATAAGAAAATTAAAGATCTTTTCTTAAGAATTGTCAACTATCAATCCCTTGAATAATCAAAGAGATCTAGATAGTCTTCTGTTCTACAGTACACCATGTCTTGTTCAATCCCATTCTTTACTCATACCTAGAACGGACCCTCGGCTACTACTCTCATACACAGGACATGGAAAGACTAAGACTATTATCAATTTTGGGCCTGGTAACGTGACTAGTTTCTGACTAAGCTGGACAAGAGGAGTGACCCTATGATGCTTCGGCATCATGGCATTCCAGGTTTTCTGCTAGTTAGTAAAAAAGTTTCTATCCTTATTCAAGAGGTGTGAAAAGTTTATATCCTTTTAAGTACTATTTCCAAATTATCATGCACTGCAGCATTTTTGCTATGGAAATTGTATTAATATTATAAAATGAAATAAAATTGCAATTTAGGAAATTATAAAGGCAAAAGTATTTTGAAATTCGAACTGTATAAACTATTTTATGAGAATTAAACCATTTAACATTAAAGACTCTTTCTAATTTAATAATTTATATTTTATAACTCAAATTATAAAATAAAATTCTCAATTATAAATTTATTATAAAAACTAGTATGTCAATGTTGTAAGTGCAATAAATTTTTTTATATTAATGCTTTTGTACGAATCTTTGGGCAACATGCATTAAACAAACAAATAATGAATATATATATCATTTTATTTGTGGCCACAAATAGAATAAGTCAACAATGAAATAGTAATGTTTTCTCAATATGGATTGCATACCAAAAAGTGTTGGTAGAATATTAAAATTATTAAATTTCTAATGAAATTCTCTACATGTTTATTTATTAATAGGTAATTTAAGTATCGCACTTGGACTTTCAGGTTTAGTGGCAACAAAACCATATTAAAATGCATTCCTCCCTTTTCAGACAATGATTTAAATCCGGCTCTTATAATTATGTTAAAAAAAAGTAATTTAACTATCTAAACTATATTTTTTTATGCCATTTGTATTAAAAAAACACCAATTTTATAATAAATATCTTGTCATATTCTACAAAAATATACATGACACCTCTTTTTTTCAAAACTTTGGTATATTATATACAGTTACTACTGATACATTCAATTAATTTTAGACGCTTTAATTTACAAAGTATTTACTAAAAAAATAAAAAGTTCCCATGACTAATAAGAAGTCAATTCAACCAAATAAACATTGAAAAGTGTAGTCTACGCGGAATAATTTGCATCAGCTTGGTGAGAGGTAATATATAAGAGATTAATTAAGGAGCAAGTTTCGTAGGAATGTTATTTTAATTTTAATTTGTGTGTGTAAGTTTCGGGGGAAATTTCTGAGTAATTAATTTGATCGTGTTGGTTTTTTATTTTTTTTTTATTATTGGATATTCGAAAGTTTATTGAACCACTAATTAATCAAAATTCAAGTTGGATAGGATCCAATAAATGACAAAATTTTTCTTAACGAGTTTTAATAAAATTGTATTTTTAAAATTTAAAACCAAAATTTTTAATTAAATTAAAAAAATTTCATGCCAACTTATCTATCTGCCCGTGAGTTAGCCGTGTTGTTGTAAATATTGTAAAGAAGTCCTAATAATTAATGCGAACATATTTGAGACAGTAACTATTCGCAGGAGTTGGCTAGCTACTTCATGAGGCAACTTAATCATCTAGAAGGTAATTTCTTCTTAATTGATTTTAAAGGTATATATTATATAGTATTTGAAAGATGGTATATATAAAAATTTTCTGATTATTACTTCATTTGATTATTTGATTATGTATTTTTACATATTTATGAGAGTGCAATATATTTAGCGTAATATTTTATTCAAGTTAGTTTTGCAACTCTTATAATATATAATAAAATTATATGTTGAGAATAGTACATATAGTATCAACTTTAAAAAAATAGAGTTATGATCTTAAATAATTTTGTTTTATTTAATTAAAATTTAATTTAAAATTTAAAATTACTTATTATAAAATGTTGATACTTACGGTGCTTTTAGAAATCAAAAACTTAATTCAAAATTTAAAAATTATTTTATTAAATATTGATACATAAATTTA